TCCGCCGCGGGGACGGCGGCCAGGCGCGAGCAATCGCACCCGAGCGCGCGCCGCGCGCAGGAGCCCGCAGCGGCAGCGCCCGCGGACGGGCCGCGCTCCCGTGCGCGCCCCGGGCAAGGGGAGGGCGCGGGGCGCCGTTCGCGGGCAGCCTGAGCGACGGGCGACCTCTCTGTGCCCCCCCCTTTCCTTCTTTTGTTTTTCCCCCTCTTTTTTTTTAATTCCTGCAGCTGCTCTTCCTGGCACCGCTTCCACGGCAGGCCGTGCGCGCGCGCCAGGCTGCGGTCAGCCCCGCGGGCGCGCAGCGCTGGGCGCTTCGGGACGCGCCGCGGGGCGGCAGCTGCAGCCGGGGGCGCGAGGCCCGGCCCGGCCCGGCCCGGGCGCCTGCTCTGCAGGGCGGCACGGCGCAGGCACAAAGGCACACGGGGCAGACAGCCCTGCAGTCCTAGGTCTCGGCAGAGCCCGTTTTGTTTAAAAGAGATTTTTTTTTTTTTTTTTTACGTATTTCCCTTTTTATGTCACTAGGTGACTGCAGAAGATGACAGATACTAGCTCCTTTTACTCAGCATGCCTGATTAGAGGGCTCACATGATGGCATCACAGTTTAGTAAAGACAGTACTAAATCATAGCTGACACAGCAGCTCCTTTGCCTACTAAAACTTTTTATAAGCAATATCTGATTACACAAATCAAAAAAGGTGAAGTAGAAGATATTTCAGATTGAAAGCACAAGACAGCATTGCAACTGTCATGCCAGTGGGTTCAACCTTGGTGGCATGTTTTATTCTCCAAATCAAAATGAATGTCACACACTGCAAACAAGCTGTAGTATCTCAACAGGGATGCTAGTATTTGTTAATTACACCTCAGCATTAAAAAAAAAATCATTTATGCATAACATTTTAGAAAATACAGAAGAATGGAGGTAAAGAAATACATCCATCATCCTAGGAGCAAAATCTAATGTAGACTGGGATAAGGATGACTGAGATCTTACTGTGGCACTGTCGTGTCCTCATCTCTGTCACAGAGAAAAAGGAGAAAGTGCTGAATAAACTGTCAGTATTTTTATCTTCCTTTTGAGATTACTCTAATGAAATGTCACACTTTGTCTTAGTTTGTGAAATCTCAAATGATTATAGCACTGTGGCTACATGAATAATAAACACTATCTGACCTACGCAGATGCAAACAGCTCTAAAAGCTAAGATGTTACCAACCAGATGTTTGTTACTTACCTTCTGCCAAAGATTACCAACGCTAGTGAGTACTTAGCTTAGAGAATGAGGCCTGGTAATGGAGGCTATGGTTTCATTTTAGCACAAACTTAGCTCCAAAGCAGGGAACTGCAACTAGGAGTTAAATCATAGATGCAGCTAAGTCAACCCAATTGTTCAGCACTGGCAGCAGCAGATCCTGCTCCCTATTCTTCTACCCTGGTCTTGGAGTCACTGCTCCCCCTTCCTCATGCCAATTTCTCTGCTCACTGGGTATTTCCCTGAGCCAGCCCAACCTGCTACTCAACACCCCTGGCACCATCTGGATTAATTTCACAGAATCACAGAATGGTTGAGGTTGGAAGGGACCAACCACCCTGCTCCAGCAGGGACACCCAGGGCACGTGGCACAGGGTGGCAGCCAGGCAGATTTGGAAGATGTCCAGAGGCCCTTGTGCCAGGCTAGTGAGTTCAGTGGTCTAATGTGCGCCTGAGCCACGACAAAGCAAATAAGTGCCTAGAAGGGGCTGAGGGAAAGCAGGACTTCGCTGATTGATACAGACAGGCCACTGGATTGTATCACCTATAGATCCGATCCAGAAATTACAACTCAGGCACAGAAAAAAAAAGAAACTTGCCCAACACCACAAAAACAAAAACAGGTCAAAGCATTTTCATTCTCCTTCACAGCCTTCAGTAGCAAAAGTGAACCATGGAGGTGGTCATGCTTAACCTTCCCTCTCATTTTGGAGAATCACTAGAACAGCCTCAAAATTTTAGGGAAAACAAACAAACAAAAACATGCCCCCCCCCCCCAACCCTCAGTGCATTATTCACTTGTTCACTACAAGAAAGAGAGATGCTTATTTACTCATTTAATTGCTCTCACCACAATTTCTAACCATTCCCTTTTAAAAATCTGAAGATCAGAGACACTGGTACATCAGCCATACTACATGTACGACTGTGGATTCACGTAATACATTTTGAACTTTAAATTCTGAGTCCCCCAAAACTGAACTGACCACATGCAATGAGACCGGCAATAACACTCATTTACTAAAGAAAAAAAAAGTCTTATGTATGTTTCTTCACTATGTATAACAACAGAATTCTCTTACCTTTTGTTGGACTCTGGTTCTGATCTATAAATCCTTTCAAGTCACCATTTGTGGGAGTCACACCAACCTGAATAAAACATTTCAGGAGTCTTAAAATATGCTAAACATTTTCATGCTTTCTAGTATGTAAACAACAGTATTATGAAAGCACAAATTTTATATATTCAATGGCGAGACATTTTTCAAAGAACATACCAAGTATACTTGTCTATTTTGCTTCCCAAATTTAAATTTCTACTTTAAATGAATGCCCAGGTTAAAATGATTTCTACACCATAACTTGAAAAAAGCTAAAAGAAATGGAACACCTGCTCTAAATTCCCCAAACACTGTAATTGTATAGTTAGCACAGTTTAGAGAGAGCCTGAGATCCAAAGCAAATACTCCGAAATATCTATTGGCGGTATCTGAAGACAAATTATATTTTTAATGAAGTCAATTAATTTAGAAAAACTCTCAATATCCTGATATTGTACTACACATAACTCATGTCATTGTCACCTCTATCACAGGGAGCAGCTGCCACCTGTAGCACAGCAGGAAACTACTCCATCTCCAGTATTCTCGGCACTCAGTGGTTATACCTATGGGGCTGAGGAGATGTGACTGCTCGTGCATTTTAAACATCATCCCCCAGTCTCCAGAAATACTGTGCTACCTTGAGGGTAAATTCCTGGACACAGAGAGGATTTAGATCAGAGGGAACAGAATGGTGCATCCCAGATGTTGGCATATATGCAAAGCATGCTATAGAGGAGAAAAACAAACAAACAAACAAACAAAAACTCATCAATTCCTAACTGAGAGAGGGGAGAAACCAAGAGACTGGGAAGTGCCTCAGATGCCAGGTAGGGAGGAGCGCCCCACGGCAGCAGGGAGGCATTCTGCAGCTGCACTGGGACTGCACCACCTTAGCAAGCACCTCTCACCAGGGCATTTTGTTTTGCTTCCCAGACGGAATCTGTGGTCAGTATGGAATGACTGAGGTCCTTTAGAAACTGCAATCTGCTCAGAAATCAGAGCATGATTCCTCCAGTACACAGTATGAGATCTTGAAAGAATGCAGTACTTTCGTAAATAACTGGTACAAAGGGTTTGGATATGTAAGGCTAAAAAAAAATCAAATATTTGCTTTATTTTACAAAAGCACATTGTAATAATGGAACACACTGCTAGGGTCACTTAGTACAACTTTAATCAAAATAAATCACAATCATTTGATTGTGAACAAATGAAAGAATAGTATCATAACACTAAAATTAAATAAAATAAACTTTCTCAGAACAAAGAAAACCCTACTACTAGCATTCAATTGCTAGGTTCAACCAGATAACTTATTTATCAAGTGATTTCTTTTTAGAAAATCAGCACTCAGTGTAGCAACAAGCTCTTCTGCAACAATTTTAGAGACTTTTTTTTCCACCATCAGGAGCAATGTATTAACTTTAGCAGTTGCTGCAATGTTTTTTACATTCAGGGATGAGTATTTTATCCACAAAAATATATTCATTTCACCACTAGGGCAGCAGCATCTGGATGAAATGCATCATGTTCTCGAAATCCAGAATCACAATTTCTTCAAGTCCTTTTATAATATCCTGCACAACAGTTAATAACGATTTCAAAATGGCTTTTATACATCTGCCTGACAAATACAAGTAGACAAGACTTTTTTTTTCCCTCCAGTAAACAGATTGCATATTTTCCAATTCAAGACAGATCATCTGTTGATTTGTGATAATCACCTGAATGATCTGTGAAAATATGACACTTACCAGCAATAAAAATCAGCATTTTTCTGGTCTTCTGTGAAAAATGCTTTGATTTTAATGAGCAAATGTGATTTATGCATAATTCCACAAGCACAGTTGTTCCCTGAACTTAACGTTTTGCAGTTACTGCTGATAATCCCAGCTCTGTATCACAACACACTTGCATTTCTGGCTGTTTGTTTCTTGCATTTTTATGGAAATTTTTTCTCCCCCCCAAAAGAAAAAAAAGATCTTTTTTTCTTTCCACTAGGTGGCAATGGTACATAGGTAGTAAAGGTGGTATGCTGCAGGGGAAATTATTGTGAATATCTGCATTTGAGCATAGTGAAAGAGGAAGAAGATATCAAACTTTTCTGTATTTGTTTTTGTAATAGGTCTATATGAAAAAACAAAGGATTCTAGTGTTCTTCCATCTTAGGGCTCATGCTGCAATGAAGGTGGAAAAGTTTAGTAAGGATGGAAAAGTTTATTAAGGTTGCACTGCAATCCTTTCATTGCCTTGAAAGAATTACAAAAGATTGCAAGGTCAAGATGAAGAGCCAGAACTGTCAGATCACACCACATCTGCTTATGCGCTATATAACAATATCAGTTTCTCCCCAGGATCCCTGTCTCTGCAAGAAATAAAAGAGGATTTTAAACTGGAGCTTCACAAAAAGAATAGGAAACCACAGGGATAAAGATCTAGTGATCTAAAGGACACAGAAGATCATGTAAAAGTGATCTAAAGATCACTCTTTTTTTTTTTTTTTTTTTTTTTTTTTAATGGGATCAAGTATAGGCCAAACTTCAATGTTGATCAAACTGAAACAATGTTTTAGGAAGTTTCTATCTTTAGCTGTTAGTTACTTGCTGTGTAACCAATATACCAACACTGATCATGCAAGTGCCCCACATCTATTCCCATGCAAGGCAGGCACCCATCTAACCAGCAGTTAACGCAATATTCCATATTGGCATAAGCCAACTCTTACAGCCATCCAACTAACCTTATCCACGATAAGCCATCCACCACCTGGGAAACTATAGCAAATACCCCTAAGAGTACATGTACATATATTAAGACTAGACAATCAAAATTAAGTTTTATTCAAATAATCTGTTTGAGGAATGCCATTTATTTTCTCCTAACAATAACTTTAATGTGTGCTTGCTTTTATTTTTTTCTCTTCTCTCTTCATTTCTCAGCAATTCTGTGAAGACTTTCCTACCCAAGCAACAGGTAAGAATGGAAGTACAAGACAGGTAAAGAAAGGGCATTGTATAACACAAGCAAACACTGAAACGATCCATTATTAGCAGGCACCTGAAGTTACATCTGCATAGATTCTATAAGGTAATCATGTTAACATTTAATCTCCAAAAGAATCTATCACCTCTATTCAACATCGTTATTCATAACTGTTTGGGTCACAGCTCTTTGCAAGGAATGTCTAACTACCCTAAGAACAATTCCAAAAAAAAAGATACTAGAAAGTGTTCTTCATCTACACTTCTGCAAAGGAATAGCATGCTGCATTTAGCAAGCAAGTCAGTAGTTGTTGCGCAAATACATACACATATATATATTTATACTTATATTATATTATACATATTTTGGCTTGGTCAGCTTGAATCAAGTAAGTATAAGACACCAAAAAAAAAAAAAAAAAAAAAAAANCAACCAAACAAAAAAAAAAAACCCACCTGCAGCTGCATACCAAATGAAATTATTTAACAATAAAAATTTCCAAGTCCGAAGATGTAAATTAACCAAATGATACCCCTATCATTAGCTAACCAAATATGTACAGAAACTTTTGCAATTACTGAATGACTAAACAAAGAGCCATCCCTGGGTCAGGATGTACTTTTATTCGGCACTTTTATTCTGAGGTTCTTGCTTCTTTAATCATGTTGATGTTGGTTCCCAAACCTCTTCAGATTTAATTTGACAGGATAACCTACCAAAGACAGCCAATGGATAAATTGCTCAATGCCTAAAGTAATACTCCACTCACTGACTGTCAAGCTTAATCAAAATTGTTCTCTATATAAATCGTGTACATCAAGAAGCACAGCTACTCAGGCAGAAAATTAAGGTCAAGATGTTTTTAATTTCATAAGCCTCTCCAGAACTATGGATAAGGGGAGCAAAGATACAACCTCTGGACTCCTCAATACAGTCCAGCCTCATATGGCAGAGGAATAAGCAGGAAGGCCCTCAGTAGTCTAGGAACCAGGAGCACAGAGACATTATAAAAGAAATACGCTCTCTTCCTGCTCTTCCTAGAGCTTTGAGACCAGAAGGATTTACTGTAGTGCAAAGCTGAGCTGCTTCGGCAAAATAAGCAGCTCTCTGATACACTGGGAGCAAGCCTTAGAATATAGAATCATTCCCACTGGCAACTTGGCCTTGATTAAATCCAATATTACTAAAGAACTTATGTCTAATTTAAATGTATCAAAATGCAGGAGATAAGAGTGTGTGTAGGATACAAAAATCTGCTCCACACATGAAACCAAAACACAAACCGCTTCAAGTCAGAAGTAACTGGCAACATACCAAGATAAAGAAGTAATACATGTTATTTAATTATAAACTTACATTTTTTGCCGTCATGTCAGACAATATTGCTTTATATTCCGTAAAACCATAAGATATCCCTTTTCATCTTCAAAGAATCTTTAAATTGAACATCCTGCAAGAAAATTAATTAAAAACATCTTAGGTAAAACATATCTCTACTTAGTTGTCTATCTGAAACTCTGCATCTCCAGAGAGTACCAGATGCTTTCTTGTGTAGCTGGGGAGGAGGTGAGGGGTGTTGGGATATTTTTATTTGATTGATTTTAATAACATCAAATCACCAGAATAGCATGGTTCTGCAAAGATTAGTATCATTTACATTGCTTAGAAAAGTCACAGATGTAACAGTAAGCAGTAAATATTTAATGTCTTAGGAAATTTCTAACCATGTATTATGGTCTTAATATTATAATGAGAATTATGTTAAAATTCCATGAAAAACAAACATTTTGCTGTACTGAAGAATGCTTACAATGACTTCATTTTTTAAAATAAAAAAGGAGTCTCACAGAAACATTTAAAAAATAGACAAAATGAAAACAATTACTTTAAAGATAAACTGAATTTGACAAAACCTTCAAGTACTCTCAAAGGACTACTTGTTAATAAATGGACTACAACTGCAACTGGTTGTGTAAGAGAAGGAGAGATGTTCACACTTTCAAGTGTGGAATCAATTCCACAAAATCGTCTGGAATGAGCATGTGCTAGTTACCATTAACAGCAGAGCGCACCAGCTCCAAAGGCATGGTGTAAGTTAATGCTGTATCTTAACCTATGCCAGCTTTCAGAATAGCCAGCATCTTCATCCTCCTTTTAGGAAAGCATCCAAAATTGTTCTTACTAATGTATGCATCCATGATGCACATTGCATTCCTGGGTTTGGACAGTCCAAAAGAGTACTGAATTTGATGACTTTTTATATAGATTCCTTCACTTATTCAGAGATCCAGCATAGTGACACTACCCGGAACTACTCAACTCTTGTCTACTAAGCCACTTTCCAGTGAAAGCTTCTAAATTTTAATGCATCCTTTCTATGCGATAAGCTGGAAGTCAGAAAGAATTCATTTTTAAAAAAATTTAAGATCAAACATTAAGTGTATCTGATCTACAAATAACCCTTTAGAAAGAATAGCACACACATACACACACACATATATATATATATGAAAAACTAAATAAAACTAAGCGATAACTGTGAGCATGCCTTACTAGGAAAGCTTGATAAACAAACTACTCCATCAATTTGGGCCAAATGCTAGAAGCTAGACAATCCAAGCTTTTTTTTCTGTGTAAGCAGAGGATATTAAAAATGGATGGAAAAAATAAAAACTATGAAACAAGCAAAAAGTTCTGGACCAAAAATAAATAAATAGATAAGACAAAGGGGAGCAATTGCCATTCATGACAAACAGTTTAGAATCACTACAATGTTAATATTACTCTGCATCTCAAAACTGAGATTTAATCATCAGCCTCAGTACAATCAACAGCACATTTCTGAGCAAACAGCACAAGGAACTATTGAATTTTCTAAATCAAGCACAACTGTTATTGTCTATTTAATGTTCATACAAAAAAAAAGTTTAAAATAATGAAGATTTCCATTTTAAGAAGAAAAAAAAAAAAACAGTGAAAGTGTCAAGTGCAGAATCAGTATCTTTTATAAGGCACGTTTGTATTAGCCAAGTTTTAAGCAGTAGTGCGATGGAGAAATGAAATTAACATGCACAGAGATTGCTATGGCTAGAGAGCTCTAATACTTTCAAATAGACTATGAAAGAAAGGATCTTACCTGATTTCAAACAGGACACTACCTGTATAAGACAGGCATCTATTTACACTCTTGGAGAAAGGGGCTATGTATCTGTGCAGCAATTCTGGAACCTGCAGCAGAATCATAAAAATGCCATAAATCAGTTCTGGAAAAGAGCAAATTCCTGAACTGCTCTTCAGTGAAGTGCAGTACGGTGAATCCCTGCAGTGTTTTAAAGTCAGGATCTGTGAGTCTTGTCCCATCCTCTTGCCCCTTCCACACACTCTCCAAACACATTATCTGGAGCGCTGAGCAAAGCACACCGTATAGTTTGCTTTCACTGTCTTGCTTTAAGAGCCTTTACAAGTAATTTCCTCAAATAAAACACAGTTAAGAATACATTTGGCAAGCAGTTTTAACTTGTTTACAGAGAGGCAAACTAGTTTCATCTTTGACAAGTTATTTGCCATCAAGCTTAGTGATCCAGAAGGCATTGTCCATGAACTGCTACCGTCTTTTGCCACAATGCTGGTCAGCCAGCGCAAACAGTTGGTATTCTTCCAGCTTTATGAACACATTTTGTCAAGCTCAAGAAGCCAGACTTTGTGACCCCACCATCTGCCATGACCTCTTGTCAGGTCCAGACAAAAGAACCGACACAGATGGTCTCAAAACGGAGATTCCCCTCATTCCCAATTGCTATTTGACAGCTCGCTGCATACAGACAGAGAAACATAAAACTCTACTTTTTTTTTTTTTAACTGGTCTCTTCTGAAGTGAAACTGCATAAAGACAGGTTTAGAGCCCAAGGCACAAAACACACAGATTGCTTTATTTTAACTTAAGGTTTGCCATTCATAATCCAAGTTGTGGTTTATAATCCTCCCTTATGATTTTTGCCTTTTGAGGGAGGAAAATGCACTATGCTAACTGAACATTGCAAACTTTGACTTGCAGTTTCCTCTACAACATATGATGCCTAATCACTCATGCCAGTAACATTAAAAGACAGTTTAGGTATTAAAACGTCTAAATTATCAAGCTGTGGGTACAAAAAATAGTACAAGATATCTATACTTACTCTTTTTATAAATTAAAGGGCAGATCTATACTGAAATTTCAGTAGTATGTAATCTGAATCCAGGTAATGGACACACCACAAAACAGAGAACAGTTATCTGCAGAAAAAAAAAACCTTTTAGGTTTAGTTTCTGTGGTCCAAAGCCTTAGTTTTAAGTTATTCTTTCAAGAGAAACATACTGGCTAAAGCCTAAGAGCAGAAAAAAATAAAGCCTCACACAGAACAATCCATTTTCTGTCCTTGTCCATTACTGAGCTTTAACTTATTTGTCTCACTTTTACCTATCCTTTCTCAAATTCTTCCCAATACTTGATATATCACACCTTTGCACAGACAAGCACCACACAAAGATTCTCCTCTAGCTCACCACACACCCCCATTTCACAACTGAACAAAATAAACCTATATAATGCCAACCACTGCACTGAAAAATAGCCCATGTTCTACACACTCTTCTCCACCCTACCCTACCTTTCAAGCTAGGGTACTACAAGGCTGATTTATAAAGAGAGGAATAACAAAAATATTCCTTGCTTAGTTAGTACAAGCTCACTTTTTAGCCAGTAATTTATGGAGTGTCTACATAAATTAGACCACCTGTTATACATACGTTGCTTCACTGTATCCCACCTGCTCACAGGAAGCATGCTCCCATCTTGTTCCTAAAAAGATTACATTATCCAACTTTTATACACAACTGATATTAAAAAGGGCTAATTTTAGTGGAAATATCTACATATACTCTAAGAAACAAATACAACTTTACTATCAAGTTCATGTAATTTAAAATTTTGTATTTCCATAAGACAGCTTCTATGATTTGTCCACCTTAAAAAGCAGCCCTCTTCAGATGACTTGGACAGACCTAGCTTTATCTTTTATTTTTATAGGCCCAGGGAAAAAACTTGGCATACAAATCATAAGAGACAGGAACTCCCATGCAACATCTAGCTTGATACTTAACAATGAACTTCAAAAAGTCAACTAAGAGACTTATTCACCTAGTCACACACAGAATTGGAAATAAGCTACCATCTTCAGCTACCATACAATAATTTTTATTTTCAAAATAATATGAAAATAAGATAGGACTCAGGAAACATTTGAAGAACTCCCACCACAGAGTCGAAACCTCCTAGTAGATAACACACAAGACAATTAGACTGAACAAGACAAATCCCAGTAACTTGACTGCTACCTCATACCAGGAGTTTCTAAACAAAATTAAAAACTTGAGAATGGTGTGTTTAAAAAGCTACATCTCATGTAGAATTCTCAGGATTGGAAGATACTCTAACAAAGAACAAATAGTGTTTCATCTTGTTTCAGCCAAGTATGGCTATTAATAAAACCACATATGAAACGTTGATAAAGTAACAATTTGGGACTAGCTGATGCTGAAGTGCTTGATTTTTTATAGTTTTCACATAACTGAAAGACTGCAACCCATAAAGCCACAGCACAACAGGTTGATCATTATATTTCACAAAAATGAAAAGACAATGACTGTTTTAAACTGCAATTCAAAAGGAAAACAGAGCTACCAGTATATGTAAAAGCCATTGCTATGTTTACAGTTCTGCTACTTGCCCAGTGCCAACAGCACTGAGTAGCTTAATGCTATGCCTACCCAGATATGCCCAAAGCCAGCGTTGACCTTAAATGATATACCTAGGAATAGGGGCAGCATTTATGCCATACTTCAAAATTAATGAGGAAATAAGGAATGCCCCTTATCACTCAAGTAAAGAAAAGGCTAAATTAAATATGTGGCATCATTTCTGAGTGCTTGAACCTCAGCTGAAGGCCGTTTCAGTTTCCCAAAACAATTTACTGTCATTAAAGATAAAATACTTAAAGCTTGACATCAAAGACATTCACGCAACACTTAAGAAAGATGATACTAAGGTTTCTTCACGAGTTTTATAGATGCTACTCCAGTCCACATTGATGCTTAGAAACATTAGCTGCGGTTTCTTTCAAAGTCACTACTCCAGACAACTAAGAACATATCATATTTTCACTGTTTTCGTCTTAAGACAGTTTGTTTTAGCAACTGAAAATAACTTAGTGTTCCACATAAATACCTACATAATATCTTGGTAACAGTCTTTGTCCACTGACAGTCATACGTATTAGCTAAGAAGCTCAGCTGAATAGTGCATCTTATTCTTTTGCCTATTAACATTTCAAACAAATTTCTTTCCACCATGAATTCATATACTGTATGGCACATCACAGAATGCTTCTCTGAATGTTAATTTTTCCTCGCGATAACTTTTCTTTTTGATTTTAGAACTTCTAGAATTACACTACATCAACAGATATATGAAAAGGTCAAATTATCATGTTGAGATGTGCTTATTTCAATATCCTCTAGCTGAGATCTTATCATTCAATGAGCTGAAGATAATTTTACATTTGTGTTTAATTAAAGCTCACCAAGTTTAAAAGGATAAAGAAGTTGGTGGCAGAGAAAAATTTGTAATGACTACATCCTATATTTTGCTTGTAATTTGCTATAAACTTTGTTCTCATTTAAAGCTATTACTAACTCTGCTCTTGTATGGGCTGAAGATTATGGCAGTATTCACTGAAGGCTAAAAGTTACAAAGAATTTCATAGTTCTTTAGTAATAATTTAGTACAATAGAAGAAAAAGAAAAGGGGGATATTTCTAGTGGTACCTAAACTCTGAAATACTGATTAGATCATGAAATATGATATAGATGGTGCAATTTGACATAAGTTATACCGATCTAAGATCCTGTCGCTGCAGTCACTGCTAAAAGGGACCTTCCACTTCTCCTGGCTTCGGCACTTTCCCATTCACCTCCCACTCTGCCTGCTCTAACCAGCTTTCACCTTCACCTGCCCCATCTTCAGGGAGACAACTGAGCTACCTATACTGTAAAGACACCAATTAGGGGGCAAAGAATAAGAGCTCATTATCTGCCTGCTGCAACTCACCAGTTTTCCTGATGAACACCCAAGCCTGCTGCACCAGAATTACAGTCACAAATGGATGTCGTTCTAAGGAATGCAACAAAAACTTCATGCTATCAGTGCAAATATTCCCTTCAACGTAGGTAAAGGATAAGCTATGCAAGAATAAGAGGAGCATAACCTCAATTACCATCACTGCTTCCTCTCACCAATGTTTGTGAAAAGCTTGACGTTTGTGGCATTCCTGAAAGGTAGAAATAATGTGTAACATGCTAAAAGAAAATGATTATCATTTTTATCAAAAAGTTTAACTTTAGAAGCTCTACCAATCAGTGGTACACTTAGAATTTCCATGAAAAGTCTGGTTGTTCACATCCTATCAAATATCCTAAAGACTATTCACCAGAAAGGTGACAGTTCCATGGTAGTTTTTCATAGTGTTTTCAAAGATATCTCTAAAAGGACTCTGCAATTCATGCTGAAATGATTTGAGAAGTTCTTGAGATCAGGTGCACTTGAACTGCTGCAGTTCACAACCAAGTGCATTTATATACAGCAATATCCATCCTTCAGTAGAAACTGAAAATAAACTGGAACAGCTAATATTAAATGAGCTGCCTAAAGCATTACATTACCACCAAGTTAATGTTGAAAAGCTTTAAAATGCTCTAAACATTACTATAGATTTCAATAAAGAAAATTCTCAAAAGTGGTTTCATTAGTCATGATTTTTTTCAGTAGCTGATTTTTCTTCAGCAATCACATGGAGCACTACATGGAGCAGCAACCCATATGGAGCACAAACAGATTTAGACTGACAGCTCAATCACTCTTAAAATGTGATCCTATGTGGCTGGCTAGGGTCACTTTGGGTCACTCACATATGCTAAGATGCTACTTCATTAATAACTGTCTATTATGAAAAGTGAATAATTTAGAAGTCTCAAAGAATTTCTCTAATTTTCAAAAGCAGAGATAATGCTGGACACCACATTCATAAACTGTGTTCTAGGGAGCCAAAAGTTTCTGCACTAGTACCAAATGAATAGCTAGGTCCACGAGAAATTATTTTCCATTATCAGTACTTTTCATTTAATAACCACTGTAGTTTCACTAGAAATAAGTTATTCTAGAAAGCTGTGCTTTCTAGAGTTTGTTAAAAACTCTACCATCCTCTCCCAAAGGTCATTTGATACCTATACATCAGTCTTACAAAGTAAATTATTATAAGCACATCGTTTCATTTGCTTAGACTGATTTGTATGCAATTAATATTACATTCTAATATATGTTCAAAGTCTCACAAAGCATGTAGAGGCTTTTATTGGAAATCATAATTTCACATGAGAAATCAAAGTAGCAAAAAGTTCTATTAATAAAATTGTAAATGAAAGATCACTTACTACTACCTTACCATCTTGCAAGACAGCTATAGTCTAAACTCAAATAACAGAAAAAAAGAGACTGCATTTAATTTTAATAATGTACATTAAAAAAAAATAAAAAGAAGAATCAAAACAGGAAGTTCAGTTATAGAACTGCCACTCCCTCCTGCACCTCCACCTTCCTACAGCATTACCTGGCATAGGTAGCATATCCCTAGTTCTCAAGATCCCTCAGCACACATTCTACACAATGAACTTTGCTCTAATATAGGTATTATTACTCCACCAAGGATTGTTTTCCATTGAATGCCTTAAATTTTATGATAATCCAGTCCAATTGATTCACATGAGCTTTCTACATGGAAACTCCGTAAGTGTATTTCCTTGCACTAAACTAGAAAAGGGACAGTTTATTTTCCCTATCTAAAGTTCACTGCTGTTTCATTAGTAGTCACATTCTAGGAATATAGCTAGAAAGGTGGCTGAGCAATCATTAATTGTTACATCAAAAATGTAGAAGAGGCAATTTAAGAAAATGTGGCAGATTAAAGAGAGGGCTAACATTGCTATTTCAAGGTAGTGGATCAAAGAGATCTTATTCTAAGAACCAAGTTAGTCTAGCTATAACTGAGGAACCCACTCTGATCCACACTAGGACCATATGTATAAGTGTCAGTAATTACATAGCATGGGCTACAGCTGCTCTCCCCAACCATGTCAGGTCACTAATCGCCCTTGGCCTTCAGAGAACTGCGCCAAACTCTTCTAGGTACCGTGAAGCTGGTGGCTCGCTCAAACCAATTAACACCATACATTCCTGAAGGAGATGGAAAGTTGGAATTTTGGCTCCTCTTTTGGCTAGTCCTGTAACCACATTTTTAGACAAACACACAGAAAGATGCCTGGAAAGCTAGGCCTTATCTTCATTTTGTAGTAGCTCACAACTGTCCTGGCAAGCATATCCTGATGCGCAAGAGGCCCCTATGACAGCGTCCAGCACACAAAAGCAGAAGCCAAAGACATTTCATGTAGCATTAGATCTCTTGCAAAACAGCACTTTGCCTTTTGCCCAACTAAGCTGTTTAGCCTCCTCTTTCTATACTAGACAGCTGGGTTCAAGATGTATTAAAAACTATACCTCATCACTTTGTAAATCGAGAACACTGATCAGAACCTGCTGCAGCAATAAAGAGCCCTCCTATCAGTAATGTATATTTTCTATAAAGTTATCTATGCCAGTAAATAAATAGTTAAATTCCTTTTGTTCTTTGTGCAACAATAGTGATTTCTGTACAAACAGGAAGTGGTTGAAAGAAAGCCTAATGAATTTGACAGTAAAATAAGATCACTCTTAAATTCAACTCACATGAGATAATCTTGCTAACATTTAATAATTTCCCATTTTTCTTTGGCACAGAACTAAATCATTTGATCTATTATTCTTACTTCTAGTGCAGGCACTTGACCCTGTGACAAGAAAGCTGTCAAAAAAAAAAGAGATTTGCACTTCTTTTTTTTTGGACTATTTTTTCTGTCAAGGCTTTTCTATAGCATGAACTTCTCCATAGTCTTTTGTGCTCCTTCAAAGTGCTATATATAACATACTAGCTGCTATTTTGAACAGAGGCTTCTGAAATTCAGGATTTGACTATGCATAACATTTTTGAATATACGTAACACTGGCACAAATATTAACTTAAAAATACAATACTGCATTTGTATTACACCACCAACTTCCCATCAATCATGAGACTTTACCCCATACATAAAATAACATGTTTTCTGTACAACACAGGATACATCCTCATCAAATAACTCAGATTTCACATAAGGAGTACAGAAACCTGAGAATAATTCATTTATTTCTCCTTCAGTAACATAAGTTCATAGTAGCATACACTTATTTTTTAATTAAAGATTATATCAAGCTGCAACTAGATAAAATAACATCACATAACATATAGTTTTGGAGCTTTTTTTTTCTATCAGCATAGCTAAAATATGTCAGGGATAGCACCGAAAATAGATTCATCAACTATAAGCAGCATTAATGGGGTTTCATTAAAATAACTGAACTGGTTCCAGAGCTATACAAGCTGGATAAATGAAATATGCTTTTTCCTTTGTACGCAGCCTGCCTGCTAAACCCCACCAGCCAACCCCTATGGAAAAGCTGAGCGAGGGAAGGATTCGCAAGCCCCAGCCACAGGAGGAGGCAGCGCACCAGGGCAGCTGGCGGGCACAGCCAGGGCTCCCCGTGCTGCAGGAGGCAGACGCTTCCCAGGTGAATTCCCGCTCCCGTGGCGGGGAAGTTCCGCGCCTCCCTGCCCGTGTCGCGCCGTCACGCTCCGCGCTCCCCGAGCGTTATTTACACGGGGGCTCCATCTTTGCGCGCGCCGCTGCCGCGTTTATCCCCCGCTCTGAGCCCGCGTTAAGGAGCCACCCGCCGGGTCCCGTTCCCCGCAGCACGCGCGCCCTGCGGAGCGGCCGAGCAGGGCCGCGAGCCGCCCCG